CCCCAGGGTTTGTTTATGCTGAAAAAAAGGGTTCTTAACACGGAATTTCACTATTGTAGGAAGATTTATGTGCAAAAACACGTTTGGAATTCATTTCATTCTGAAATATTGTTTTTTTAAAGATTTTATGGACTTTAGAAAACTCGTTATGCTGAAAAAGGCCACTTTATCAAGTTGACTTTTTATCATATAACCAAGTGAAAATACGGATTCAACTCTGTAATATAATGAGTATTTTATTACCATATCTCATGGCAAACTCGGATTTTGAATATTCCAATTTTTGGCAAAGTTATTGCAAATTTGTATTTAGGGTCAAGAAGGGGTCACTTTTTCTCGCCTTTTTCAGCATAACTAAACCCCAGGGTTTGTTTTGCAAAAATGAGAAAAATAACTTTTTCCCCTTAAGTTTTTTTAACTCGGAGTTTTACTATTTTATGAAGTCCTATGTGCAAAGACAAATTTGAAATTAATTTCATTCTGGTTTTTTTGTTTTTTTGTTTAAGTCTTTATGTTTTGTGGCCTCCTTCAGCATAACTAAACCCCAGGGTTTGTTTATGCTGAAAAGGGACATTTTTGACCCAGGATTGACAGCGGCCAATGTGGACTTTTTCAACATAATCAAACCCCATGGTTTACTTATGTTGTTAAAAGCCATGTTTCTGGCCCCCTTCAGCATAACTAAACCCAGGGTTAGTTATGTTGCATTGCATTTTCTTAATGCAACATAACCAATCCTGTGATTAGTTAAGGTTAAAGTTACAATGACCACATGGCATTGGGTAAGTATAAGGCATTTGGGGAAGATGATATGATATTACACTCAACCCTGGGTAATTTCCAAGGGTTTAATTAAAAAGAATCTCATGGCCAATCATCTGCCTGGTAACAATACCAAAAACGTATGTACACTATTTACAACCAGTGTCAGGTTTGCTTAGCCCACAGGACCTGCTTGCACTGGTATATAGACGGTGTACAACAGCCAAAGATTTATGCTGAAAACCATGAGCTGTTGTACACTGTCTTGGTTGTACAGCACAAGGCTCGCATGGCCTGCGATAAATTCGTCAGTATGGTCGAACATACTGTCGAAGCAGAACTGTGCTGCCATAGAGTGGTCGAAAGCAGAGTCGAACATATAAATTGCAACCGTCAGGTCTATGATTCTGATATGAATGAGATAATAATATATCCTTGCTAATATACCATTCCCTCGTACCTATAAGGAAACCCCTTCACTGATTGGTTGAATTTCGATCCTACCTAGACACAGGATTTGAGCAATTTGTATCGATGTCAAATCAGTTGCAGATGATCCTGATTTCATGATTACTGTATTACTTGTGTCCTGCAGCCACAAGTTTGCTACACTAAGAACAAGTACACTCAATCTCTTTGAAATATTAGTCACTATATAGTGAAAAAGGCAAATATAGAGGCCAGTGTGGCCTTTTTCAGCATAATCAAACCCCAGGGTTTACTTTTGTTGTTAAAAGTTTGGTTATGCTGAAAAAAGGCCCATATGCCATTTCGTCCCATTGAAAATTGTGAAATAACAAAAATAGGAAATAACATTCCATTTTCTAATTTAATATTATTGTATTGTTTTTTTGTCACGCGTCTAATCGAACCTTTAAAAAATATATATGTTTCGATTTAAATAAATTATAGAAAATGGCGAATTGTCGGGAGATATTTACAATCTCGTCAAAGATAAACTGCAAATTCTAAAGTGGACGCTAACAACATAATCATGACAAAAGTAGCTTATCATTGTGTTATATAACAGGTGTTTTTTTTAAATAAAAGGAAACTGTATTGGCCTATTGCAGCGATTCCGGATCCAGGTAGGATCCTGTTCCGTATTTAGTAATTCCGGATTTGGTTTTAATTTTACGCTCGCTCCTATTATGGGATGTCGATAGAAACATGGCCGCAAAGTATGTTGTGATCTCAATCACACTATGTGGAAACGATACGGTAACTGAATAGGAACATGAACAATTGTAATATATGAGACGGTTGAACTACATAACCATAATGATTGTAAACGATACGTAACACAGTTCAACTAGTCATTTTCTTGCGATACATTTGTATGTGTGCATGTTACCTTGTTATATAGTGCAATGCGTTTGTATGATTCACATGTGTAACTTTATAATTTGTGTTATTACAGTCAATCTGTTCAACAAATGAATACGAATTGGCGTCGTTTGTTCCATTAGAAAGATGAGATCTACATTACATTGACGTATCACCACAATGATGGCAGAGACGAACAGCAAGGTCGGTAAGGAGACAGGGTCTGTCGTGGCTGAATCGGACCAAAGGTATGTTTTAGATACAAACCGTACGAGAAAAAATACCGAGAAAGGTCTTGAGTACCAAATGGATCAGCTTAAAAGAACAAACAAATCTCTGAAAAGACTTGAAAATTATCTCGCAGAGATTACTGAAGATGACGACGAGCCCTTAGATGTTGTTCGAAGGAAATATTGTTTGTGGATGCAAGAATACGAACGGTTCCTTGAACTTTATGAGATACTTTCTCCCCAAATTGATACAAATGAGTTAGAAGGAGTCAGTATATGGTTTGAGGAAAGTAATAGTTCAACCCGCCAATTTAAGTTGAATATAGAGAATTATATCACGAAAAGGAGCAAGCAGGCCCTCGAGAACCAGTTAGAGGGACAGAAATTCCTTCCTAGTGAAACAGTGAATTTAGATAAAGAACTGGAAGCAGCCAGACTTCAAGAGGAAGTCCGTACAGTATGGAAAGAGGGCATAGAAGATAATATGTCAGTTGTTTCGAGGATGTCTCGCGAAAGTAGGGCCAGTTCCTATGCTTCGATAAAAAGAATTAAAGAAGAACAGAAAAAGGTAGAATTCCAGACTAGAAAATTGAACATGTCAAAGAGGAAAGAAATAGAGATGGCAAAGTTAGCCCTGAAGCTCGAAGAAGAAGAACTAGAACTTGACACTAACATAGCAGTGTCTCAAGCCGTAAGTGAAGTCCTGGTAAAATATGGATCAACTGAAAATCTTGCCACACCTGTACATGTAAGAACAGTGCCACAGTTAATAGACGAACCCAGATTTACCTCCCCTGGGCCTACTGCAACACACTTCCCTTCCAGCCTCATGGAGGAACGCGTTGAAGAGTCCCTACCACCATCTTTTAAAGGATCAATTCCCTCTGAACCTAATAATCAAGCTGGTATGATACAGAGAGTTGTACAACACTTGAGAAAACCGGTAACGGAAATTAAGAAATTTGGTGGTGACCCCTTGGAGTATCAAAGATTTATTCGTCAGTTTAATGCCAAAGTGGTAGCTAATACAGAAGATGATGACGAAAGAATGAACTACCTGGAACAACTTACACAAGATGAGGCACATAATGCGGTAACTGGATTTGGCCACCTTAGAGGTGATAGGGCTTACAAAGCTGCTATGCAACAACTGGAAGAGCATTATGGGGACGATGCAGTAATAGCTACTGCCTTTATCAGAAAAGCATTAAATTGGCCATCAGTGCGTGCAGGGGACGCCAAAGCCCTCGATGAGTTTGCACTTTTCCTGGTTGAATGCCAAAACGCTGTAGGAGCTGATTCTAGGACCGTCCTGGAATATTCTGAGAATATCAAAAGGTTGATGCTGAAACTACCCTTCCACCTGCATGACCGTTGGAGAAGCCAAGTCTTTAGATTGAAGGAATCTAAGAAACGAGTGAGATTCAAGGATTTAACACACTTTGTAAAGGCTGAAGCTAAGAGGGTGAATGACCCTACATATGGAAGTATAGCAATGGTAACTCAGACAAAAGACTCATCAAAACGTCCTTTCGGAAAGAACAAGATAAGTCAAATAACGAATGCTACAAGTGAAGTTTCTACAACAAAGTCGGAGTCCCATAGTAAATGTTCATACTGTGATCTGAAATCTCATTTACTGGAGACATGCAAGAAATTCGTGGCAAAAGGTCTGCAGGAAAGATATAACCATCTAAAGGAAAAGGGTTTGTGTTTCGGATGTTTGAGAAGAGGTCACTTGTCAAAAAATTGCAGAAGACGACTGACGTGCAATACGTGTGGAAAGTGTCACCCCTCTATCTTGCATGACGACTCTAAGATATCAACTGCTGATAAAGAACAATCACAGAACCCTTACAAATACTCTGATACGACTATTGTAAGCACCAGTATGGAGTTCACTTGTAACGGAGGCAACCATACCGGGGCCGGAGACGTGTCTTGTGCTATGTCCATCATCCCAGTACGGGTTAAGCTAAAGAATAAGCCTCACAGTATAGAGACATATGCTTTCTTGGATACAGGAAGTACTGCTTCATTTTGTACGGAATCTGTAATGAGACGACTCGGAGCTAATGGCAAGAAGACAGAGCTCACATTAAGCACTATGGGTGAGCCCTACACAATGACTACGTATTCTGTTAGCGGCCTACAGGTTTGCGATCTGGATCTGAAGAATCTGGTTGACCTACCTAAGGTTTTCACGAAGAAGGAAATGCCTGTAAAGAGAAATCATATGCCTACACAGAAGGAAATATCGAAATGGGAGCATCTATCAGAAATATCCTTAGCTGAACCAAACGTGGAAATAGGATTGATGTTGGGTAGTAACATACCGGATGCCTATGCGCCTACAAGAATACTTACCGGACCCAGTGAGTCACCGCACGCAACAAAAACAAAGTTAGGATGGGTAGTATGGAAACTTCTTAGAGACAGTGGTAGTGTAAATGTGAACCGAGTACATATTCAGGAGTCGGAAAACTGCATAGAAACAATGGTGAAAATGTCTATGAACTTGGACTTCCCTGAACGTCTGATTGACGACAAGAGAGAGAGAATTCCAGGGAAGACAAAGACTTCCTAAGACAGGTTCAACAGTCTATCTGCAAGGTCGAACGACACTACTGCGTCGCACTACCCTTTAGAGACAAAGATATTGTTCTGCCTGATAGCTCTGCAATGGCTAAAAGGAGACTTCGTAGCATCAAGAACAAGTTCCAGTCAGATCCAAAGTTTAAGGAGGACTACACCATGTTCATGCAAAACCTCCTGGAGAAGGGGTATGCCGAGCCTACACCGACGGATTGTGAAAGCAGGAAAGTTTGGTACATTCCCCATCATGGAATATACCACAAGAAAAAGAACAAGATGACAGTGGTGTTCGATTGTTCAGCAAGGTATCAGGGAATCTCCTTGAACGACAACCTACTTCATGGACCGGATCTCACTAACGAACTCCTTGGCGTACTGATACGATTTCGTGGGGAACAAATCGCAGTGCTTGGAGATATCGAAACCATGTTTTACCAAGTTAAAGTTCCAGAGGCCGAAAGAGACTACTTGAGGTTCTATTGGTGGGAAAATGGTAATACTGAAAACGAACCTAAGATCTTTCGGATGACAGTCCATCTGTTTGGAGCCACATCATCTCCTAGTGTATGTAACTATGCTCTTCAGCGTACTGTGGAAGATAGTGAAGAACAGTTTGAACTGGAAGTTCAGGACATGGTGAAGAAAAATGCTTATTTCGACGACTGTCTTGCATCCGTTGCTACAGAGAACAAAGCTATTAGCCTTGTACACAACGTGACACAAATGTGCAAGTCAGGAGGATTTAGAATTACTAAGTGGATGAGCAACAGTCGCAATGTTGTTGAGTCAATACCAGAAGATTATCGAGCGAAGGAAGCTAAGTCATGGAGCTTGGATAGTCGACCACCAATTGAGAGAGCTCTTGGAGTATACTGGTTAATAGAGAATGATTCGTTGGGATTCAAAATTCAAGTACAGAACAAACCAACCACCAGACGAGGTATACTTTCCGTTACCAGCTCTGTCTATGATCCTTTAGGAATTGTATCTCCCTTTGTCTTATAAGCCAAGTCGGTGTTGCAAAGACTTTGCAAGGATGGGAAAGGATGGGATGAGGAAATAACGGGAAAGGATCTTAAGGACTGGCATGACTGGTTAAGTCAGCTTCCAGAGCTTGAGAACATAACCATAGACCGATGCTACAAGAAGAGTAACTTAGGCAATGTCTGTTCTTGTCAACTTTACGGATTCGCCGACGCAAGTGATGTGGGATATGGTATGGTGATTTACCTACGACTCACCAACGACTCTGGTCAAATTATTTGTTCGTTTGTACTAGGAAAGGCCAGAGTCGCTCCCGTTAAGACCGTGACTGTACCTAGGATGGAGCTTACTCCGTCAGCGTCACTTGTGAGATTGTGCAAGATGGTCACCGAACAGTTGAACTACAACATAGATGAGACCTTCTACTGGACTGACAGTACTTAGGTACATTGCAAATAAGAACCTGCGATTTCATACGTTTGTTGCTAATCGTATTGCTCTTATTCATGAAGCAACCAACGACGATCAGTGGCACTACGTTAACACGAAGGAAAATCCAGCTGATATCGCCTCAAGAGGCATGAACATTTCTAAGTTTTTGCAGAATAAGATGTGACTCAATGGACCTGAATTCCTATGGAAACCTGAATCTGAATGGCCAATCTGTAACCTGAACTATCCAGTAGTTGAGAACGACCCAGAGTTGAAGAAAACTGCTTGTTCTTTCCATGTATATATAGTTTCAGAAAATGCAAATTGTGATGGAATGAAGAGATTGCTTAACCATTTCTCTGACTGGTCAAAACTGAGAAGAACTACAGGCTGGCTACTGACTGCCTTTGAAAACCTAAAATGTGCTGTTGAAAAAACCAAACAGATCAGATAGAGAATCAGCCTTTCAGAAACAGATCCCACTCTTCTCGAGCAAAAGATGAAAGAATCGATTGCCAAGGAAAGACAAGAAAGATTTGATAAGCGTTATAAGTGTCTTCAAACCGCGCGTCTCAGCATTGACATGTTACAGAAAGCAGAGATAGCTCTGATAGGATATGAACAACGCTCATACTTCCCAAATGAGATGAAAGCTCTCACGACGACCGATCCTAGTACGACACTGAAACGGTCATCTAAATTGTATAAGTTGGATCCGTTCCTGACAGATGGTCTAGTTCGAGTGGGAGGCAGATTGGAGAGAGCCGAACTCTCTTTCGACACCAAACACCCAATAGTGCTTCCTGAGGAGGCCGTGGTATCTAAGCTTCTCATGGATGACGCTCACAAAGCATGCGAACATTTAGGAAAAAACACAGTTTTAGCGTTTCTGCGACGAAGATATTGGATTATTGGAGCTCGGACATACATTAAATCTATGATCTCGAAATGTGTGGTCTGCCGGAAATACAGAGCTCCATGTAGTCAGCAAAAAATGGCGAACTTGCCGGTGGAGAGACTCAATTCAGATGAGCCTCCATTCAGCAGGATCGGAATGGATTTATTCGGGCCATTTGAGCTGAAACGAGGAAGAAGTGTCGTGAAAAGGTATGGAGTACTTTATACTTGCCTAACTACCCGCGCAGTCCACCTCGAGGTTGCTGCTTCGATGGACACTGATTCCTGTATTAACGCAATTCGTAGGTTCATAGCACGTAGAGGGAAGCCGATGTTTATCAGATCCGACAACGGAACTAATCTCGTGGGAGCTCAAAGAGAGATGCAAGAAGAAATACAAAAGTGGAACCGCGATAAGCTTAATCAGAATATGCTACAAAGTGGTATACATTGGGAATTCAACCCTCCAGCAGGTTCCCACTTTGGAGGAGTCTGGGAAAGACTTATTAGATCTGTCAGGCAAGTGTTATATTCTCCTATGCAAGAACAGAACATCAAACTTGATGATGAAGGGCTTCAAACCCTTTTCTGCTAAGTAGAGTCCATCTTAAATGGACGCCCATTGACTGAAGCAGCCAACGACGTAAATGACCTCGAGGTTCTTACTCCAAACCACCTACTACTTCTTCGTCCAGGAGAGTGGTTCCCTCCAGGAACGTTTGCCCAAACAGACAATTATTGTAGGAGGAGATGGCGACAAATTCAGTATCTAGCAGATATATTCTGGAGAAGGTGGACTGCAGAGTACCTACCCCTACTGCAAAAGAGACAGAAATGGATACAAAAGAAGCGAAACATGAGAATAGGAGACTTGGTGATGATTGCGGATAACACCCCACGACGTTCTTGGGTCATCGGTAGGATTCAGGAGGTTGTGAAGGACAAACACGACCTAGTGCGATAGTCAAAACAGCGACAAATGTGTTAACGCGTCCAGTAGCCAAACTTGTTCTTATTCTTGAAGCGGACACTTCCCACTAAGATCAAAACAGTTCTTTGAGTGAATTACAATCAGTCGTGAAGTACTTTGAACAGTTTAAGTTGAAGACTTAGCTACAATGAACGTTGACTTTGAAAATATTCGTGTATGTATGTTTCCGTCTATAATAGGCCAAGGGAATTTATGATAATCTCGCCTTAAGTCTCGATTAAGGGGTCGGTATGTATTGGCCTATTGCAGCGATTCCGGATCCAGGTAGGATCCTGTTCCGTATTTAGTAATTCCGGATTTGGTTTTAATTTTACGCTCGCTCCTATTATGGGATGTCGATAGAAACATGGCCGCAAAGTATGTTGTGATCTCAATCACACTATGTGGAAACGATACGGTAACTGAATAGGAACATGAACAATTGTAATATATGAGACGGTTGAACTACATAACCATAATGATTGTAAACGATACGTAACACAGTTCAACTAGTCATTTTCTTGCGATACATTTGTATGTGTGCATGTTACCTTGTTATATAGTGCAATGCGTTTGTATGATTCACATGTGTAACTTTATAATTTGTGTTATTACAGTCAATCTCAAAAGTGAAATTCTAAAATTTTCAAAGAAGAAATAATTTGGACGAAACGCTTTAGATTCCCGTAGCTGCCTTTAGACCAGCAAACAACCCTGACATGCAGATTTATTTACTTAACATCGTCACATGGTGCTTCCATTTCACTCTTTCTCTACTCTTCTCTTGAACAGTGCAGTTGATATTTCCCAACCCTAATCCATATAAAAAAAACACACCACATAAAGCAATCCCAAAACCATGCCACCCAGAAAAAGGAAGACGGTTGGAAGTAAACTAAGGGCAAAAACTCAAGCGAAAGCAATGGGAAAAAAACAATCTTCAGTACCAGAAGGGGCAGCAGACCCTGAAGTAGACAAATCATTGGTAGAAGGG